GCTGCGGCCCCTGACCCGCCTGCTCCAAGGGGAATATCGGGAGAAAACCCCGATCCACCTACGCCAGAGCGAATATGGGGAGAAAACCCAGATCCGCCTGCTCCAGAGCGAATATGGGGAGAAAACCCCGATCCGCCTGCTCCAGGGGGAGTATCAGGAACAACCCCCGATCCGCCTGCTCCGGAGGGAATATCAGGAGAAAACTCCGATCTGCCTGCTCCAGAGGGAATATCGGGAGAAAACCCCCATCTGCCTGCTCCGGAGGGAATATAGGGAGAAAACCCCTTTCTGCCTGCTCCAGAGGGAATATCGGGAGCTGCCGCTGCCGGGGCAGCGCTGGGGAAGGACACAGCACCTGCCTCCCCGCCGGTTTTTAAGTAATAAACCCAAATCCAGGCGCTATCCCAAAACGTTCCCAGTTCTAGACGGACGTGTCCCCGCCGTGTACCAACACGTGTTCCAAGAGAATTTAAGGAACAGCGAGGCTGTGATTAAAAGGTAATAAAGCGGTTTTGTGGGGTTTTTAGAGCATTGCTATTTGTGACACGGTGTAAGAGTCACTCACGGGCACTTCAGGGATTTTTAACATGGTACAATACTCGCCCCATGGAGCAATGTAGCTGCTCAATCCCTGGAAGGCCAGCTTGGACGGGACTTGGAGCAGCGTGGTGTTCCTGGATAAGCTTTGAAGTCCCTTACGACACAAACCAGTCCATGAAATGTTGACTGAAATACCCAAGGTGCAAACTATTTGAAACAGTGCCATGTGTTGTTTTGCGTATATTGCCAAGAAATACTTTTTCCAGACCTACGTAACATTTGTTGTGTGTTGCATTTTGAATGCAAAAGACGTAAATGGTGACTCACCCACTCCTGACAGAGTAGGGGATGGGTGCTGCTGTCCATCATCATTTACAGATAAAACGACAAAATGTGCTTTATGCGTTTGTCCCGAAAGATCACATGGCAAAATTGCAAAGGCCTTTGTTTAGGGGAGTGATCCACGAGCTGGAAGCAAAGCTTTGGAAAACACACTGTGCCCTCCTGTGGTGGCATTGAGGACATGAGTAAAATCCTTTTCCTCCGAAGTTTTTTCAGCCTCCATCGTGTGCAGGGAGCTCACCCAGATCACAGAGTCACACCAAACGTGCTGTGTGAGACTTTGTGTCAAACAGCATTTACAGTTAAAGGTGATGCATCTAGGGAAAAATGTGTTTGAAATAAAGGAAGAGCTTGGTTTATGTAAGACCAAAGTTGAGACACCACGTTTGTTTATAGTTTATTCAGTTTTTTACCTATACATGGTGCTGCCCTGGCAATACCATGGGTAATCACTTCCTCCCTGTGACACTGCAATGTTCCCTGCTTTTAGTATACCTTCCAGATTTAGTATTTTATTCCCAGTTACTGATTTTTGTCAGACAAACTTGTTACAGGACCTGATGGAGGAAACTCTTGGCTGGATTATTCCCAAGAGCAGGTGGAACATGGAGGTTCATGCTGAATTAGGACAGGCACATTATGATAGCCTCATTATTATATATTATATTATTAGCTTTATTAAACAGTTTTTTGGATAACAAAAGTGAAATGTTTGCTTTAAATAATAGACCTTTGCTTTTTACTACACCTTGGAAAAACAATAATCTGAAAATGTGAATTTATCTTCATTTTCATGCCATTTGTGTGAAAACTGTGCGATATGTTTAAGCTCAATCTGCTAAAAGGTAACTTGTAAGGAAAATGGTTGGGTCAGGAGGGCCCTCAAAGCCCACCCAGTGCCACCCCTGCTATGGCAGGGACACTTCCCGCTGTCCCAGGTGCTCTGAACCCTGGATTTGGGCACTGCCTGGGATCCAGGGGCAGCCACAGCAAATCTGGGAATTCTATTCCAGGGCGTGCCCACCCTCACAGGAAACAATTCCCAATTCCCAATCTCCCATCCATCCCTGGGAGCCATTCCCTGTGTGCTGTCCCTCCATCCCTGTCCCCAGCCCCTCTCAGCTCTCCTGGAGCCCCTGCAGGCCCTGCCAGGGCTCTGAGCTCTCCCTGGATCCTTCTCCTCTCCAGGTGAGCACCCCCAGGTGTCCCAGCCTGGCTCCAG